CAGCCCTCATACAAGAACACCAAGTCAAAAACAGTTTTATTGACGCCGCAGTATTTACAGACTATTAAGTCACTTTAATGATCCCCTGTTGGTAATGTTTTGGACAAAACATTTTTAAGAGCAGCTTTCTTCCTGGAGTATTTAGGTCCATGCTGCTTCCATAAGAGACTCAAGTCAGATGGTCTCTTCTTCCTTTCATCTATCATGTTCCAGAGATACAGATGTTCTAGGTTGTCTGAGACCCCTTGAATTCCTGAAAGATATGTGCAATGGCTATTGGAAATGTTGCTCCAGCCACCTCCAGACCTACTGGGTCTGTTCACATCTCAATTACGAAATTATGCCTTCTTACTGCTAGTGCCATGTAAACATCTGGTACTGGTAAATGAACCCACTATTTTACATTTCAGAAATAGAAGTCTGTAAATTCAGAATAAAAAGCTGTAAGACAACGGTATGCTGAACACAGAATAAGAGAGCATAAAGTTACAGCAGCAGAATTCTCAACCAGTGTAAGCAGCAGTTTTCACAGCTGACTGCTACACCACTGTATGTAACACTGCAGAGCAATGGAGCAGGTTTAGACAAGTTTCTGAGGAACTCCTTCAGTTCAGAGTGAAGATAATTGTACCTCATGCAAAAATGTATGCATCTAATCTATCTATGTTAGAATATTTCAAAAGGGACTGATCAAGACTGGAATAAAAAAGATTCAATCTGGTTATCATACCAGGTTAGATGATGCACGTCCTTAAAGCAGACAACCATATTGCAAGGAAGTGAAGGTCAGTAAACAAAAGATGGAGAAATCATCTTTATGGCATCTTTTTTTTTAATGTCCATTGACCAATATGGCACTTGCCAAGCTCTCAGAAGAGACAGATCCTAGAAAACACCTTAATATGTGCGAAAGCAGAACAGGCAGGAAGTAACGGCAGTACTAGACACAGGCTTGAAGGCACAGAATCATAGAATGGTTTAGGTTGGAAAAGACCTCTAGGATAATGTGTCCAGGATTTCTAAAGCCAAAAAATCAATTTTCCTATTATTGTAAAATCTCAGAATTCTTAAGCCATTCCTGCCTGCTTCATACATTACAATCCTTTCCCACAAGAATGAGCAGATGGTACTTTCAATAAAACTTTAATGAAAATTGAGTGACAGTTTGATGATAAAAGGGAAGAGAAGGTGTTCCTGTTTTAAGAGAAATTCCATGGCATTATAATGTTAAAATTACCAATTTTGGCTGCAGCTAAATCAAATGTAATTTCTTAAAACACAGTACAAACTCATAAAAGGGCTTTCAAACAACAGGTTTTTTTAAAAGGTACAGTACTCTACTTAATAACAATCTCCTCTTACCAAGGAGGCTCACAATTTACCTCCAAATCCTGTAAGAATAAAAACGTATGCATAATCACCACAGAGCTATACAAACTATATGAAATCCTATATACCTTAAGACTTTTAGTGTACCAATAAATATGTACAAGCTTCAATAAACACTGTTCACTATTTTGCTGTTTCTAAGTACTTAACTAGCTGTGCAAAGATAATGAAAAACACTTTTTAATAGAACTTCATTTTACAGATATACTATTATGTCTCTAGATCTTCCATAACTGCAAGTGGTTATGATTCTCTTAAAAAACTGGAACTCATTTTGCAAATTAGTGCACTGAGATGATATGCTGAAAGGAGCTACCTCTAACACATATTAAAATGCAGCATATCCTGGAAATCTAGGGGAAAAAAAACTTTATTTAAAAAAAAAAGTTGCTTTTGAACATAAGAAAAAGTTATAAACTGTGCCATATGATAAAACAGCCCATTTCTCCAAATTTGGTGGCATAATTCAGAGCCAGAGCATGACCCACAAGACATAATATATCATAAATCCATTTAACAGAGAGATGACTCCTTCATTTTTTATCTCACCTCTAATCCTACTGGAGTTTTCTGAAAAACTGAAAAGGTCAAACATCTAACAATTTAATTTATAACATGTTGTCCTTTTTCACATCACATCAGACTGATGGAATATTTACTTAATTTACAGTACTATTAATGTAATTAGTATATTATGTCCTCTGGTTCAAATTTTGTCCTCATTTTCAGCAATGAACATAGACGGACTTTCTATTTAATAAGGGCAGAATTTGGAACAGTTAGCTATCTCTCCTTTGCATTTATTAGAAGTACCTAATGACTGTACATCAACTGGAATTTTTGCAGGATGTGTTAAAATATACCATCCTTACTGACTCTTCCTGTTTTGTATTTATGCACCAGAATCAAGTATGTACAATCCAGACGCACACTTAAAAGATATGCCATTGGGTCTGAGTATCTCCTGTTAGAGAAATAATAAGCTAAAATACAGCTGAACAGCCAAGCATGCTTATTTTCAGGACTGAAGCTCCCAACTTTTCAGATATTTGTCATGGGAGTGCAATTTCACAGATGATTTAGAAGGCATCCTGCACATGTCTCTGATTAACAGGCAGTCTGAACTCTGGTCTTATTTTCTGTGTATGTCCCCTTATACAAGTTATATTCCTCAGAACTTTTAACTCTTAACTCCTTCAAGAGCATGAAAATAGAAACAGTTCCCACCTCTACATCACATACATCCAGCAAGAAACACTAACAAAGACTCCCAACTAAGTGTAACCTCATCTGATTTATAATCCAAATGTATTTCTCTTGAATAAGGTAAACAAGGAAAGAAACAGATTTACAACTGACCATCCATCAAGAACTACATTTTGAAATAAAAATCAAGAGTCTTTATTTTCTAATGAGGAAGGTCATATAACCACCATCAGCCCAAACAGAAAATAGTACTTTTTACAGATTTCTATTTACTCATGAAAATTATATTAATGAAAAACTGTATTAAGTGAAAAGGATGACACATATGTTTAAACACTACACTTTTCTTTGTAAAAATGTACTACAGGAAATAAGAGCTCAGGCAATATGCAGTGGACTAATTAAGAAAAGAAAGTAGGCCACCTTACAAAAATCATAGTTTAATCAGGCCACGAAAGCAACAAAAAGGAAATAGCAGAACACTGTAAATTGTCAAGTCAGATATTTTAATTTCAATATGAGGCACACAGACCAAGGAATGATTAGATTCTATCCTAGTATCACACTCATGGCATACATCATAAGAAAGTAAAGCATTTACACACACTCCCTTCACTTTGGCGCTAAAATTTCAATACTGTTCCACAATTTGAAGATAAGTATGAAAAGCATCTCTTGGCTGGTTACCAAAGTCTTCATGTTAAATCACTGTCTCCCCTCCTGAGGTTCTCACACCTCACTGAAGAACAAAGAAATCTTTGCAGGTTGAATTTCTTAATTCAAGGTGTCAACAAACACATTTAAAGCCATATTTCTGCCATACCCACATTCATACAAACTGTGTTTTGCTTCATGTGGAATAAACAGACACATTCTTCCATTAATTCTGGAACTGCAATGTTTAGAGATACAGGGGAGAGAAAAAGAAGGGAAGAAGGCAGGGTCCTGGCATACCAACAAAATCTAGGCAGACAGGCTACACATTTGCTGAAAGCCAAAACTTAAGCTGCCCAGATTGGTGCTCAGCTCTAAGAGTGGATCCTTTCCAGCTAAGAGTAACACAGACTTAAGTGTGCTGGAAAGCCTTCTAGGCTATGTATGTATGACTTCAGAATAAAAACTGGTTTGAATTAAAGTCATTAATACATTTTAAACTAAAAGTCAAAAGGGTTCAGAAGTTTTCCTCTGTTGTTAAAAAGAAACATAAATAGTTCAGTAGTGAGGTGTAAAAACCACCTACAAGAAGGTTTTGACTTCCATGAAGCTTATTTTGATAGTTAGAATAGTATTTGAAAATTATCATAAGTAATTTTTCTTTATGCAATTTCCAATAAATTTTGCTTTGATTTTACAATTAAAATGCTTAGTATTTTGTGTGTTGACTTTGTGGCTACAAAAGAAAAATGCAAACAGAAAAAGACAGAATCAGACATTTCCAGTTTTACTTGAAACCAACCAAGTCTGACATTCTCTTTTTTAACTACAGGTATCTAGCTTCCAAGAGATGAAGCTGGTGCAGACTACATCATAATTTCTGGAAATTCAGCTTTGAATGACACAGATAATTATACAATTAATGTAACAATAATCTGTTTTATGAAAACACTACAAATATAAAAGTTTCCAGAGCTCCAAGGCTTTTAAAAAAAATTAATCGTAAAGAAAATCCAACATACAAAATGTGATTGTCTGTCCAGGGACACATGTTTTACTTTACGTCAACCACTGTCTTAAACAGTGCAACTTGTATGCAGCCATGAAGATATTGTCAAATGTTCTCCTTTTTCCATCTAGCTTTTAAAGTATGTGCTGAAAGATTGGCACAGGACAGTGCAAATGAGTAAAATTCATAAAAGTTTGATGAGTAACAAAAAGAGCCCTCAGGAGAGACAAAATACCCTCAACATTAAAAAATCGTCCTTAGTCTTCACTCATATCTGCATTCAAAATAATTAATAGTGTGCTTTGAACCCTCGGCCCACCCACTTGCTTACTTTTCTTGTTTTTTTGAAATAAAAATACAATATACACCTTGGGCTTTAAGTCAAAGGAATGGAGTTTACTCCCCAGGGTCTGTTCCTTAGGAATCTAAAAATATTTTCTTTATTTACAGCATCTATTATTGTACCTCTGCTTATAACAGTAACTGAACAAACATTCCTCTGTATTTAACTGTATTCCTTGTCAACACAAAATAGTCACTTCTTTGAATCCTTAATGGAGTGGATCAGCTTAGCCCTACTTGAGGACTGAACCCCTCCTCCCCTTTGACCCCTAAAGTGCTTCTCACTCCTCTGGGTGTCACTTGTGCACGATTGCTTGTACACGCATTTTGAAAACACCTGGGACTGGATTGGTGAAACTTTTTTTTTTTTAACCCATGGATTTTGCTGACAATTGCTTACCTCATTATCTGACTCCACAAGCACTTGATCATATTCACTAAGAGCTACTAGGAACATGATAGATGTGACATTTTCAAAGCAATGTATCCATTTTCTTCTTTCTGATCGCTGGCCTCCTACATCCACCATTCTGCAAAATTAACAACTACATCAATTCCATGAACACCTTAACAGATAAACACCCAACCACAAACACAACAAAATTCAAGGATTTCGTTAAAAATACAGTTTGGTTTGGTTTTCTTAATGATTTTTTTTCCACTGATATTTAACAGAGTCTGTTTTAAGCAGACAGTTAATCATGCTTGCTTTAAGTCTGATGGGTTTTCTGTATTTGAACTATTGTGAGTCTCAAACCCTTCAGAGTTATCAGATATAAAAGTCTCATGAGCAATGATTTAGCAATGTATGTCCCATGTATTCAGCAACAGACACAAACAAAAATGATGGTGGACCACCTTTTCCCCACACACATATCAGAATCAAAATCCACAACTTGTTAAAGCCGCCCCATTTTAAGTAGAAAAATAGACAACAGTATGTATCTACTAAATCAAAATTCATGTTTGTGTTTCAGTGTAAACACAGGTGTCTAACTCATAATTACAGTTCCATAGTTATTTTTTAAACAACTGTACTTGCACTAAAGTAGTGTGATAGCTCTCTAAAAATCAAATGCACAAATGGTAACCTTTTATTCCATAATTTACATGAATAACAAAGACATACAGACGTATTTTCGAATCATTATGCATAGTGAAACTTCCATGTATGTTATTGGAAAGATGAATTGCAGATTTTCTATCAGTAAAAACCACTCTCAGAAATAACAAACCTAATTGCCTTTGCTCTTTCTGACATCTTTAACACGAGCTCCTAAATATATGTGGACAATTAAATGAAGATAAATTGACCAAGCTCAAATTTTAGAAACAGAATAATTGCTTTTTATGTACTTTAAACCAATATCTTTACTTGGCATTGCTAATGAAAAAGGAAACAAAAGAAACCAAGCAAGTGTGTGCAAAACCCCTTTTTCCTACCTGAAAATGACGCTTTGTAAGTCGAATGGATATTCAATGATCCCTGTTGTTGGGACTCGAACTCTGAGTACGTCCTGCTGGGTTGGCAGATAGGTGGAATCTGCTATGCGGTCCAAGTCATTAAGATAGCTATAAACAGGGAGAAACAACAGGAATGCTAGACAGTGACACCATCATCCCACCAAGGAAAAGAGAAGGGAAAACTTGGGAAGGAAATGGGCTGTGGGGTAGGGAGTAGTACAACAGAGGGAAAAAAAAAAAGCATTATCGGCAGAAAAGAGGGGACAAAATATAAAAATGTACTCCATCCCCATTTACACAGGTTCAAGCTAATTCCACAAGAAAGGTAGTATAACTATTATGGGATTTTTTTCCCATACAACTTTGCTTGGCTTTCACGTGTAAATTCACCAAAGCTGTCAATTACATAATTCTAGGAAATTTAGAGACACAGTATTATACAAAGTGTGAAAAATACAAAGTTCCTTGGAACAGGTAATATATTTCTTGATATTCAGTCTGTAGTGACTACATACACACACCTAGATAAACTAACATGAACCTTCCAAAGAACAATGGACTGCAATAGAATAGATAGCAATCTACAGCAGTCTGGTGTTACTGATTGGTAATAGATCATTACCAGTTATAAAATGACAGAAGGATAAAGAGCGCTGTTTTGAGACTAAATTAAAAATGGAAAAGCCCAACCACTGGCAATTACAACACTCTCCAGATCTTGTTACCAGAAGGCAGCACAAACTAATTAGAGTGATCTCTGGCACCTGAAGTCCTGCATTCACACTGAAATTGCTGATTAGGCTGATAAACCTGCAGTACTTGAAACACACTCCTGCTGCCCTGCAAATAACCTAAAATTGCTATTAAAGATTCGGTAACTACGACATAGAACTATTCTGCTTACTGGTTAATGGTGAATTTCAACCATAAAGCACCAGTGTACTGAAGGTTTTAATTAGCTGTCACAAAAAACATCCTCCAAAGAAAGAAGGTACCCATGTGTGTGTCCAGGAGCTGGACGTCTCATGAAGTCAGTGCACCAGGAAGCTTATGCTCTCCCCACAGTGGCAGAAAGACTGCTGCAGGAAACCAAGTTCTTTGACATTTGGGTCGTTCACAGCAGAAAAATAATCTACAGTTAGCCACTGAGAAGACAAACTAATGTCGGGATCTCCTCATTCATTCTAGGGGATGAGAACAATAGTCTTGTAATTTATTAAATTATGATGAAGTGTCACCAACTTCTGAACACGTTCTATTCCCTGCAGAAATTACTGAAGACACTCTTTTAAAATAAACTCACACATAAATAATCTGACTTTTTCTGGATGCTCTGAATTACGTTTTAATAAAATAGTGAGAAGTTATCCTGAGCAATGACAGAAACAAAAAAGTTTAATTTCTACCTTACAGTAAAAATATATAAGAATTTGTTAGCTTTGGGGAAGAGCCAAATTATTACTGGCTAAATTATAAAATTATCAAATTTCCTTCACTATGACTATATTAATGCAGGAGCAATTCAATAGTAAATACCAATGTGAGAAGGACATATTGAACAGTGTATCTCAGGTAAGCCAGAAGGTACTAGTGTGAAAATATTTTCTGAGAATGCTAATTGCATTCTGGCAGTAAGAAAAGGCTTCAGAGTCTGAGCACTGGATCTGCCCTCAGGGTGTTTTTACACAAAAAGCAGCAGGAACAAGCTCGTCATCAATTTGTTGACAGAAAAGGAAAAAATAACCAAAAAAAAGTGAATGAAATTCATAACTATTACTGTAAAAAGACAGACCTTGAACTAGATTTTTATTCTCTCCAATCCACAGAAGAATTAGTTTTATTTTGTGATGAAATTTTGGAAGATAAAGAAGCATTGCCAGTCATTACATGCTACAGTGGTATTCATAAGAGCGAGAGAATTTTAACTGAACAAATTGAGAAGTGCCCCATTTACACAATTGTCTTGTTGCATTCCTTTGGCAAGCTTTTGCTGCAGTCTCCAAGGTGAGCCTGGTTACTGCACCTCTGCACAGTGGACATGTTACTAAGGTATCTGGCAATGCACATCTGGCTGATTTAGTATGGTGATAGAGCAAAGCGATAGATATTATTAAATTGTTACATCTCATTTGTGTTTCTAGAAACCAATAAACGAGGAGATGACGCCTTATGGGGGTTTTTGGTCCGAAGTTTCCAAAACATTACTTTATCCTTAAAAAATACTTACCTTTTCCTTGTCCTCATCCTTTATGCTCAAGTTCTGCTCACTCAGTAACCAGATTCAGGTCACTACCTTTTCACTCTTTTCACCTGCAGCCCCCTACAGAGCCTACAAGGTCCACAGAAGAGTCCTTATGTATGCTTATGGAGTCTTACTTAAATCCCTGGATTTCTTCACTTAACAGATTAAAGACTGTTGGGCCCTCTAAGAACTGTCCTGAATTATACATTCAAACCCAGAATCAAGGAATTAATGTCAAAACCAGCAGAAGTATCTAATAGAAAAAAAAATCAGAAGGATGCACCAAAAAGAAAATCTTTTTGACAATCATAAACATAATTTACAGGCTAACAAAAGCCATTTAGAATACATCCTCCTTTTTTTTTTTTTTTTGTTTTCCAGTAATATTTAGCCCCAACCACTTCTTCTTCTACCTTAAAACTTAATAAATGAATGTATTATTGCATCAATTTATTTAAATAAAAATACCCCAGGTTTTGTTGTACAACTTGAAGTCTTTCATCATTGCAATTTTAATGCTTCGACCATACAACAAATTGTCAATGAAATTCTTCCTAGATAGAAAAAAAATGGTTTTAATTTTGATTTGTGGTTTTTCTGTTTGGTGCTGGTTTTTTTTGTTTGTTTGTTTTTGTTGTTGTTGCCATTTTTTTGTTTGGTTTTGTTTTTATTGGAGTTTCTTTACATTTTAGTTTAACAGACATTTCTGCTGAAAAATTACTTGTGCTGGAATTCAGACTGAAATAAAATTTTGCTCTGTTGCTCTGAAGCAAAGGAACAGGTATTTTCTGCTACTGACAGTTCTGCAGACAATTACAGTTCCGGTTACCCCATGAAGATACATAATTTTGTGTTCTGCTATCAACTTCAGGGGCATTAAGCATGTTTCTGAAAATCAAACTGAAAGCTCTGCCAGCAGCAGCAACACAGAGTTGCCTTCGAGATATTGTAAATTCACTAAAAATGCTGCAAGTTTCTTTTAAAATTTACATAACCTCTAAAATTAAGTAAGAATTTTTTAAAAACTCTATTTTCTTTAAGAACATCTGTCATTGGGATTGACATCAGGGTCTTTCCATTTTACGCACTGTTTTATATCAATTTCTGAAGACTTTTGATATATGACAGACATAAAATGTCTTTTCAGTCAGGTGCAAGCTTCCTAAAATACCAATGAGTGCAAATCAACACACATAAGCTCAATACATTATCATAACTTGTATATTAATTACAAAACATTACATTACATCTCTACATCTATGGTACCACACAGACAAACCCCATGGCATTTTCTCCTTATGAAGAAAAAGAATGGATTTTTGCATTGCATTAAAAGGGTTGGGGTGACAGTCTCATTTATCTGAACAACTAGTTGTTGAGCTGAGTCACTATTTCAAAATGCTGAGGGAATATGTAAGTAAATGCAGCTGACTACATAAAAACAAAAGACAACTAGAATAAAATTAATATTTAAAGACATACGAGCAGCACACACATTTTTCACACACTACTATTCTAACTGTTCCTGTAACATTGAAAATTTATTATTTGGCTTACCACAGCTTTACTGTCACAATAAAGACTTACACTTTCAAATCTTCCTTGTGCCAAAAGAATTGCATATTTAAGACTTTTTTTGCCCTTATGAAATCTGGGGTTTAAAGAAATTCCCTGATTACTATGGAAGTGCAGCATTGCACACATACGTTTTAAACATCCTACAATTTATTAAACTAGTAATTTATTTATTCTTAAATTACTTTATTAGGCGGCAACTTTAAATTAAAACGTCAAAAGTGCTAGCTAATGCCAACTGTCTTCTGCTTTCTACTATGTTGGTTCCAGACCACTCCAGCTGCTCCTCTGACCATCCCCAGCTGCCAGCTCTTTCACTTGTGCAATTGCATGATAACATGTTTCCATCAAAATTATTTGGAACAGTGAAGAAACACTACTGAAATTGTTCCAATTATGGTTTATTTGATGGATATGTCCTGGGATGTGGCAAGTCCATAAACTCCAGCAGGAAAGCAGTGTGGAGTTATTTCCTCCACTGGCTTATCTGCAACCAGAAGAGAACTTGTGTAGCCATGCTATGCGAAATGTGCTGGGTTTTGAATGCAGATGGATGAGAAGTAAATGAAAATGAAGATGTTTATGGGCTCTTGTACGTATCTACTTACTAGTAAACTCAGAGTGGTTCTAAAGCACTTAGCTAATGCAGCCCTAACTATACTGCCTTCTGGCGCAAACAAATCCTATACACAAACAAAAAATTTAAACACCTAAGAGATATGCACAGTGTGTTTTAGGGGGGATGCCCAACTCAAAATGAATTAACAAATACTGCAATCAGTCTTACCAACGCACCTAACTCTCCAATGTGTAGTACAACTGGGCTACACACGCACTCTTGAAAACAAACCACAAGACTTGACATAGCTACGATCTTACCCAAAAGGAGAGTAGCCAATAATTGACCAGACCAGGTATTTTTTGTTTATTAGCTTCAAATTTTAAAGTCATAATAACAATATGGGTGTTGGAAACACCCTGGAAGCCATCTTGAGGGTTAGTCCAGCTGTGAGTAACCACCAGCATTACCACAGGAAATTAGGTTGTACAGGTCGTGTACTAGCAACAGTGCAAGACATTTAGGTCTCAGCGACATTGTACTCAAGTGCTCATTTTCACCATCTACTAAAAAATCTAAGAGTCACACTGTAGCTATATGGCCCCTCATCCAAACAGTATCTACTCAGTTAGGCATTACAGAAAGGAAAGAAAATGGAAAATACATGGTTTCTGAGTATATTTATAATACAGACCAAGTTTCAAAAGTTAATTATATCTGCAATTAGTTTTA